AGAGAGTAAAATTGACCATTTCAGTCCAGTGCCCAGGGCAAAGCTATTTAGTACTGTGTCTGATACTGTCTGATTGCCTTAATGAAGCATCAAGGACTGATTTGGTGGAATTATAAATCCTGTCTTCTCTACTTCTAGAGCCAGTCCTTTCATAGAATATTTAGGCACGTGGCTATAGTGCCTTGTGAAAAAATAGGTACTAGCAAATCAGGTTCTTCCTAGGAGAAATTGAAAGGGAAATTTGCATTGTAATTGTAGAGTAATTTTCTGCCATAAGTTTGAAATCAATTAAAAATGTCAATTTTATTGGTTCATTTTCCAAGGAAAAACATGTTGTTTCTGCATTTTGCTTTGATTTTACAATGCATAGTGACAAACCCCCAGAACACAGAACAGAAGTGGTAGCTGCTGCTCAGCCCTTCATAATAAAATGCCATTTTCTTTTGGTTTAAACTTCTCCCTAAACTGCAAAACTAGAATGAAATGAACATGTTTTTGGAAAATAAAAAAAAGTGATCATGTAGTCAAAGCAATTTTTTTTTTTCATCATAGCTAAGGTATTTTATTTTTAATGCAGTAGACTTCAAATCCTGGATATGTAGGACTTCCATTCCCAGGATTGCCAGCACAAACAAAAGAAGAAAGTAGTGAGAGAAGCCAACATATGAAGAGCAGCCTTTTAAATGCTGGGGATCTGTAAAGGCCTGCTGTGTTGCATTATATTTGTGGATTTCAGACTGCAGCATGCAGATGTATGCACATGAATAATTTTGAGCAGAAGAGCTTTAATCCCCTTGTAGAGAATAGAGTCAGTGAAATGTGTGAAGTTACGACATGTATTCATGGTTTGGTGACTGAAGCTTAAGATCAAGTTCTGGGCCACTGACTTTGTTTTCAAATATCTTAAGTTTTTAGCATATGTGCATGAAAGAATAACTCTTCTGGGTTCATGCTCTTGCCGTCGTCTTCCACATGCCTCTGGGAAATCAGATTTTTTATACTCTGGATTACTTTAATACTAGAGAGTAAGGTATGAATTATTGTTTCTGAACTCCATGGATTTTTCTACTCCAATTATAAGATTGATAGTCTCTGTGATGATAGTGTTCAGGCTTGAAATGAAAGATAGAGTGAGGGGGTACACAGCTCAGGAGTAGCTGATTTCAATCCTCAATGCATTCACTAAATAATTCAGTATCACTAATGGAAATCTGATCTGAGCACAGCAGTCGGGACGCAGGGCACTCACTCGCCAGGGCTTGGCAGCTCAATAGCTGGGGAACAACAATGGAGCAAAAGGTGAAAAAACCTTTAAACTGTTGTGTGGTTCTCCTCTCTGCTTTCCTGGAATCGTGTTACATTTTCCTGGTGCTGCTGTCGCTGGTGGCTGGGGAGAGCAGGGAAAGAAATTGATATTTACAGTGGAGCTGAAACAAACAAGGCAAGCTCAGCTCCAGCTGACCTCCTAACCTGCTCAGCAGAGGGACCAAAAACAGGGAAGCTCTTCTTGAGAGAAAATTGCATAAAGCCTTGTCCTCTGACTTGCCCTCTGAACTTCAGAGTCGGAATTTTTAAGGCCATCTTTGGAAAAAATGTGCAAACTGCTGTTAGAAGTTCCAACTGTCTCCTTCAGGTGGGCTGTGAAATGATTACCTAAGAGTAATGAAAAACCCCAGCTCCAAAGAGAAAATTTGGTGCTTATGCTTTTTTTCCAAAGGGAAAGCCACACCTTATTAAAGGGAACTTATTATGGGGTCCTTTCTGTATTTTGGCAAAAACTGTATCTAAAGGTAGGAGCTTCTTTCCCCAAAATTGTCATAAACTTTTACTGATTGAATTGAGATTCTAATGAGGATCTAATACTTTTGGTTTGCTTATGAGACCATTTGCCTATGGCATCAATCAAAGGTCCTTTTACAGCTTGTTTTGGCCCTAACCTTCAGTTTTCCTTTCTAAGAGATATTTCAGCTCTGTCTCACTCATGAGGTTGTAAATTTTTGCTTCAGGTAGCAAAGAGGATACGTGGAAACAGAAACTGGACTTCTACAGCTGCCAGTGCACTCCTCACCACTGTTTTTTGAGTGGAACCAGCAGCTGTAAACTAATGTTAAGGAATTTAAAGATAAGTATCCCTGACAATCTTGGTATGCATAGTCTCTTTTCTCAGTTACCTTTGTGTTCTGAGTAGAAAAGTAGCAGTTGAAAAGTATTTTTTCAGTAGGCATTTTCCTATATGTCACAAGAAATGCTGACTAGTCTGCAATTCCAGAGATCATGCAGCAATTATATTATTGTCTGAGAAAAAAAACTCAGGATAGACAAAACAGAAGAGATCTAGAGATAAGCTTCTCCAACCTTAATATCCTTTTATTAAAGAAAACATCCCTGTGAAAGTAAATGGTCATAGCTTATTTTACATCCATCCCTTTTCTCCATGCTGTACTGCTGTTTTCCACTGGGAACCAGTGCCACAGGCATCTTTGAGGTTGTGAATAACATAGTTGGTGACCTTTTTCCTGGCAAAAGAAGTTACATTTGTCCTCTCAGGACTGCTGTATTCACTGTCTCATTGTCTTCTCTGTCTTAACAGGTTCTATCTCAATAATAAAAGTTCAGTCAAGAAATTCAAGTCTTATGCTCCATTAATATCAAATGTATTCAACAGAGTGAGCAATTTGGGGCAAAGAATATTTTTCCTGCATTTGTACAGTGCTTGTTGCAAGGGAGACCTCAGTCAAGCCTCAAGGTGCCATTGAAACAAATAATATGAACATTAAAAAAATTTACTTTTTTGGCAATCAAAACCCAAAATACTCCCTTTTTCAGACATGGGTCCTTCGAACAATGATCAGTCCCCTGAGAAATTCTGCTAAACTTGCTAGCAGTTAAATTTTGGAGATTCTGAGTCAAATATCACACAAAACTAGTTTCTGTGCATGTAAACTCAGGAGCCATGGAAACTAGGTATGGAGAAAACCTGGGGGCAAATTTGGTCGAAGATTAACTCTTGACATTGCTTCCAAATTCAGAGGCCAAATGAGGCTTCTAACACCATGCAAATCTTTGTGAAAAGCAGTTGCTTTCTGCAAAGTATCCTGTTTTATGAAAATGCTAAGCTTGCAGTGTTTTGGCTAACACTCAGATTTCAGTGAAATCTCTTGGCCCACTCTGTTGCAATCTGTTTTGGTTACAATCAAGGTGAACTTAGAGCCATTGTTCTCTTGCCTACTTTGTTACCCAGAAAGGATTGATCATCTGAAACGTGCTACAGTGGTTGTATGGAGAATTTCTTGGGTCTGCAAAGTGTCAGCCACTTCCAGGTGGTTTTGGATGGAAAGTTTCTTTTTTGAGGTGCTTGTCGTGCTTAGCACCGTGCTGCCAGGATTCCACTGAGAAGAGCTCAGGAAGGTGCAAGCTGGCTAGCAGGCATTCATCCAGCCTTGCCTGCTCTGAAACACAAATGCCGTTGAGTGCTCCTTTCCACTCATCCAGCTGCTGGGAAGGATATTCTCTCCACCTCAAGCCATCACTTTACACTGCAAATCAAAATTGTTGTTTTAAATTACATCACTGTCATTAAACCAGCTGGTGGTGCAAATCCCGAACAGCCCTGCCAGGACTGAGCACATAACTGTGATGAAAAGAAGATGTCAAGGTGCGGATGGAAAGGGTTAGTTTACTTTACTAAGAAGGAGTCCAGGTGAGTGCAATTGCCCGCTCTGGGACTGGCTGTACAGTGCTTTTCATTGTCACAGATGGTAGGTGTTAGATGATGCAATGTGTACAGTGCCAGACAAATTACTTTTTTAGCTCATTCCTCTGGAAACAGGAGGGGAATCTGAACTGGATTTCTGTGCAAACCTGGAGCAGGAGCTGCAAGCTGCAAACCCAGCTGAGACCTCAGCAGTGAATGGGCCCAGTCTTTCAAGTGAAGGCAGAGACTTGCTCTGGGGAGAGGGAATTACACAGAAATTGCCTGGAGTTTGGAACAAGTCCATGCAGTTTTAAATTAAGCTGTGGGTTGGGGAACACTCTTATTCAGTGGATGTAATGAACCTAAAAGGTGGAAAAGCCTGCTCCTAAATGAAAGCCCTGATACAACTCCAGCAACCGCTGCGACCCAAAGTGTTGAAATGGCAAAAGTTGTTCTCATCGCGCTCTTAGGCCAAGCTGAAATTAAAAGCTGGGGGTAGGGGGGCTGAGGGGGGAGAAGGGGTCAGCTATGGGGTTTTAGATATTTATTAATTTATTTACTTTCTTTCTTTTTTATTTATTTATTTTCTATTTACTTATTTATTTCCCGAGCAGTATTCCCAGCCTATCGCTCCCATGGTCAAAATGGCAAGTCAAAATCTGGGGGTGGGGGGGCTGGCAGAGAGAAGGCGTCAGCTGTGGGTTTTCATTTATTTATTTATTTATTTATTCATTTATTTATTTATTTTCTTTTTTATTTATTTATTTTCTATTTATTTATTTATTTCCCGAGCAGTACTCCCAGCCTATCACTCCCGCGGTCAAAATGGCAAGCTGGAAGCCAGCGAGGCCGAAGTCAGAGCTCTCCAAACTCTGACAGCCGAAGGCGAGCAGAGGGGCTAAAAACTGCGGGGGACGTTTGTACCCTGCACAAGCAGCTGAAGCTCCGCACCGGCCGGGCTGTAGGGCTGAAGAAGAGGAGGGTGATGAAGAGGAGGGCAAGCTGCATGGGCTAACAGGGAACCCTGGGGCGAGCCCGGTGCGCTGCTCCCGGGGGAGCTGCGGCGGAGAGGAGCGGTTCGGAACAAGGAAAAGAAGAACGGAGAGGAGCGGAGCTGAGCGGCGAGGAGCGGTTCGGTCCCGCCCCCGCTCCCGCCCATCCCATCCCGGCCCGGCCCGGCCCGGCCCCGGGCGGGGGCGCGGCTGCCCCGCGGCTGACCCGCCCGGCGGGCGCGGCCCCTGCGCATCACACGAGGGGGCAGCGCGGCCGCTCTCTCGCTCTGCCCCGCGCCCGCCCGCCCGCCTTCCCTCCTCTCGCCGCCACGCCGCAGCCCGGGCTCCGCCGAGGCGAGGCGCGGATCAGGTTCCCTGCCTGCAGTATAAAAACCTCGGCAGAAAGCTCCGGCAGGGGAGAGCGAGCGGAGCCGGGCGTGAGGAGCGCAGGGACGCGCGGCGGCAGACGCGGCCGCTGCTCACCGGGAACGGTCGCGGCTCGCCCCTTTCCGTTGCGGGAGAAGCGCTTTCTGCCGCCACAAGTAAGTCCGAGGCGGCGGCGGGGACTCCCGGGGAATGCCCGAGGGATGGAGCCTCCGGCGCTTGTTCCTCCAGGGCAGGGTGGGGAGCGCTTCCCTCGTCCCTGCCGCGGCTCCGGGACGCTCCGGGTGCACCTGAGGGGACACCTGGCTGGGGTGGTGGGTGAGGTGCCCAGGAGCAGGGACAGGAGCGCTGCCGCCGTGCTTCGGTCCCGGGGAGGGTTTAAATGCCAGCGCAGGGCGAAGGGACAGCGGTGGCCGTGGGTGACAAAGCGGGGAAGGGCGGCAGGGGTGCTCGGGCAGGTCCCTTTCGAGGGGACAAAAGGGCAGCGGAGCGCGAACCCCCGGCGGGTCCCAGGTACCCTGCGCCAGGAACGTCCCGGCTGCAACTCGGGAGTTTAAATTGTACCTTCGGCTGATATTTTCCTTGGGACTTTGCCTTCTTATCCCTGATTTACTCCTCGCGAAACAACTAAATCTAGCAAGTGGTCATAGATCTATCTGAAACTGCCGTCGTTAGTTTGTGTCTTCTCCTTCCTCGGGAGGGGTAGGCTGGGGGAAAATCTGAGTTGACAACGGTGAAAACACAGTTTCCTCTTTGTTGAACGCATAAGTTATTCTGCGAGTGTTTCATGGTCTGCAGCCCCGGTGCCTCTAACTCCTTACCCTCCTTTCTTCTCTCCTTGTTAAAAGTACAAATTTTCATAGGGGAGAGGTAGTGGGAGCTTATCTGCATATCTTCATTCTGTGTGAGCTTATCTGTTCCTTTTGCCTGTTCCACTTGGCTGTCGCACCTCTCCTCCAGTGGTTTTGCCTTGCTGGGGAATGGCCACTGCACTTTAACCTGGTGGCACCCTCGGGAGCTGGATCCTGGGATGCACACCTGAGAGACTGCCTGGCTCTTGGGAGCTTTAGGGAAATGGTTGTGACAGGAGTTAAATCTTCCTCTGCCTCATAACCCTGCAGCTATGGATAGTGGTGTTTTAACCGGATCCTGCTTGCTTGCAGTGACTTGTGTTACAGCTGGGGAATATTTTACCTGTGGCTCATCAGCTCTTGAGTTGATGTCCTTTCCTTGTTTTCCCTCTGGGCACTGCTTTTTTTTGAGCTTTTAGCAAAGCTCAACTTTCTGAACAAGAAATAAACGATGTGTGCAACTGACTCTATTAGGGAGAGGAGGGAAGGGATGGAGAGAGAGAAAGAGAGAAGGAAAGTAAAAGTTGTTACAAAGAAATGCCTAGGTTTTTATGTGTTCTGAGCAGTGTTCTTGAGCTGATTACAAAACAAAGTTAATGCTTCTGTGTGTTTGTTTTGCTTTGTTTCAGTTTCCTCCCTGAAAAAGAATAAGAATAAAAAAAAAAAATCGAAGCTTTTGATTATGAGAAATAGTTTGAAGGGAAAAAGGAGCTAGTGTATTTGTGACAAAATTTGTTAATTTGCTGTAGGAAAGAAAATTTGGAAGTTCATGGAGAGGGTACCTCATCAAACTAAAAAAAAAAGAACCCAAACCCCCATAACTGACCCCAAAAAGTAGCAAAGCCAATTCCTGCTGCATAATTTAGCAACTTTTGCTAAAGAGAAGGAAAGTGGAGATTTATTAAACTCCTGTCTCCAGGCTGAGCTAAACTCTTCAGTGATTTTTTTTATGTATGAAGCTTTGGGTGAAACTGAAGGACAGAAACTCACCGACTTTACTTGAGTCAGCTCTTGGGTGGGGAAAAAAGAGAAGCCAGCAACAAAGCTTTTACAAATGGTAAATATTCGTTTATAGTGTAGAAGTGGCCTAAGAAAACCAGTTTTTTTGCAGTTATCCAGATGTCTGTCCCCAGTTATTTGAGATGCACTCTGTGGCTGATGCATCCTTGCCAGCAGAAGGTTTGTCTCACTATAGGATTACAAAACATAGTGCTGCTATCCCAGTACCATATGCCTGACACTGGGGACACTTTGGAGGCTTATCTTATTCCTGACATAGCTGTACTGGTGGATGTTTTGTGTAGATTAATCTTTCTGCCACAAATGTGAATATTATTACTTAGTGAACTTCAGCAGTTGTGGCTTTGGCAAGGTACTTCCTTGACATGTCCTCTGTTTCTTCTTGATCATTCTGGGAATGCTTGTTCCTGACTCCTTAGACAACAATTAAAAATAATTCTTTATAGGAGCTCTGAAAATGCATTCATTTAACTCATACTATTTTTTTTTTCTGTGTGCGTGTTTGTGTGTGTTGGGTTTTTTTGTCAAGGAAAATACAATTTATCTAGTGTTATGGTATAACAAGTGTTTTAGTGTAAGACTAGGGCATTAGGGATGGAGCTGGCATGGCTCATTGCTTCTGCTCTGTTCAGGCCCCCTCATTACCTACATTCCCAACTGTGGCGTTTTCTGTGGGAATTGCTCTTTAACAATGTACGCTTTGCCTGGATATTTACAACCTCTCGCTGGTCAGTGTATCAAAAGCATTTTCATTTAGAGGATGCATTTCAGGACTTTAATTGAGGAAATCTCTTTGTTCCAGGGCTCCATAATAAACCATACAAAATGCTGTCTTTGAACGAAGTAGGTCACTGTAACGCGTGCACACACAGAGTGATTCTCATGTGCTTAGGGCAGCCACACTCGCTGGAGCCATATCCCTGGCGAGCCTGTCCCTGATTTATCCTCCTTGGACTGCCTTGTTCACAGGGAGCTTATGCTGAAAATTCACTGCTGGAGGTCATTCTCCATTCTTGGCATCCCTGGCAGCCTTAAGCTTAAATTGCAGCCTCGTTTTCTATCCAATCAATACCACTCTTATGTCACCGAGTTTCCATGGTGCCCCCAATCTTCTGTCTACATATTGATGTCTGACAGCAGGAATAGCATTCTGTGTCGCTATATATACTTACCAAACCTGTCAAAACTATTTAGGGTCTGTCTCACTAATTTATATCCATATCCTGATATTATTTGTATCTGTTGAGCTTTGACTGATGGAACTTGCTGCACTAAGGAACCGGCCCCAACAATGCACTCCAGGCATGGCTCAAGGGGTGGATGTTTTGAGAAAGGGGAAAAAGACTCTCTTCTAGAGTAGCTGGGGCAGTCTAGAATCCTTTGAGCACAATAGAGTCGTTTTGAAAACATCCAAGTCTCAATGGCTCCAAGTTAATGCTTTGGAAATCATTCTTCATTGTGCTGCTCTGAATGCACAGAGGGTCCTCTGCAGTGGAGCCGTGGGGAGGAAAATAGAAAAGTGGGCATTGTCAATGTGTGTTTGAGGGGACTTCGGCGAAATTTGAGTTGCTTGTCTGACAGCAATTTCTTCAGCAGAAGCACTGTGGAAAAATGGAATTAGAGGAGCCAGCAATGTCTTCTGTAATATGGATGTTTTTGTTTTACTACAATAACCCACAGAGCAGAGTTGTTGCATAAGAAATGGTGTGGTGGTGTCTCTGTGGACTGACTGAGCAGCAGGGAAACCAGATGAGAAAAGGCACATCTTCTGTATATCACTAAATTTCAGGGCACTGACTATTTGTTACTTGTGTCAGCAGTATTAGGCACTAAATAAAGACCATATCAATTTTTTTTTTAAAATTCAAATATGCTTTGCAAACTGTTGATTTTGGATTGAACAGAAGTGGTCATCAGCTGACGATCTCTTTAATCCCACTGCCTTCAACATGAGCTTGATCCAACCCATGAAATAAGAGCTGGCAGTCTGTATGGAATTTGCTTCTTAATATTTTTCTTGTTCTGAGTTGCCAGAAAAAGTGATCTTGTGATGCCAAGTTCATCAATACTTTTCAGACTCTCTTCAGGCTCCTACAGTTTTTTCCCAAGTGAAAAATAAGGACCTTGAAGGTTTAAAAGGACCTGTTGCAGGTGGTGGTATTAAAGTAGCTCAGTTTGTTTTCAGCAATGGTTCACCCTACCATGGTAGAAAGGGTCAGCAGGACTTCACCTAACTCTTGGCAAATATGTCTCACCTTCTTTTATTCCAAGGAACAGAACCACTGTGCCATTTCAAAATATCTGGCTCTATCTTCTGCAGTGGCACTGTCATGATTTTCTTATTTTTTATCTTTTTTATTTGCTTCCTTGTCTATATGTGTGGGAGTGACTTTTGCAAAGCTGCAGTCGTCTTGCAGGCTGCTTTTTCATGTCTTTCAGGCTGAAGATTGAGAGAACACAGCTGTGGGCAGTTTGGTGGGAGATGAGAAGAGGGAGTGGGAATGCAATAAAAGTGAGCTGTATTGCTGATAAAGCCAGGGGATTTTCACCCTCACCATCCCTCCACTCCAAAGGGCCTTTCCAGAATGGCACGTTCTGGTTTCAATGGGGATGACCTCTGGAGGTGAGGAGATGGGCTAACTATATCTGAGGCAAAATCCAGCTCCACTGCATTGAGAAAAATGTATTAATGTGTGATTTTGGGCCTTAGGACCACATTGCTTGGCAAGTGCCACTGATTGCATGGCAGAGGGGTAAAGACCTTCAGAGCAGAAGAGGGTTTCAGGAGTTGGGTGTTTTCAGATAAAAATAGTCTTTGGAAATAAATAGTGCTTGGGGCTCCTGCACACTGCCATTTAGTAAACTGCAAAGTTTTAAACTGGGACTTTCTCCTTTGAGGCCTGCCAGCACTATTTCAGAGCTCATTAAATGTTTCACAAGAGCATTATAAAAATCTTCCTTCCTCATTAGTTTCTACATGGTTTCAGCATGGCTTGGACCTTGTAAACATCCCCTATTTAGTTGTGGATGAAACCATCATCAAATGGCTGTGGGGAGGGAAGAGAAAGAGGAGGAATTCTCCATACCCCAGTCTAAATCCATTTTTTGACACTAGTCTGCAGGTAGCTAACCACATAAATGAAACACAATTTTTGCCATCTTCAAGCAGTATTTTTGGAGGAAATCCCTATCTGTACAAAAACTCTCCCCTCAAGAGTAAAATCAGACAGAACAATCGTGAGGAAGAGAAAACTGGATGGGCTCTGTTTTCCTTCCAAAAGCCTCAT